TATTTGTTAAAATCCAAAGCGTAAAAGTCAAAATGAGAACATACCGAAAGTCCATGTTGTCCGTGGTAGCCCGGAGGACCTTGGGGACCCTAAAATGGCAATTAACGGAGACAGACGCAGAATAATCTTTTTGGTTTCCCAAACATGACTATCAAATAAAACACCACTTGCTTGTTAGTGCGCGGGAAGGGAACAGATCAACACACAGAAAATAGTGATCAACATTGGAAAGAATCGCACGTGACAGGGATACCCCATAGAAAAGTTGCTTGTGGTACAAGACTGTCTGGAACTCTAGTTCCACTGATGTAGTTGTGACTAGAGGGATCTCTCAAGTATTTCTCTCCCTAGTTAAAGTCAAACGGACGATGAGAAGAGGTGTTCGTTTTCAAGTGGAGTAATTCTGATTCACTACTGATGGACACGATGTGCACAAAATATGCACTATTATAAAACCATCACCATGTTGAACTCTCGGAAAAATTGCATTGAGTAGTATATGTTTCATTGTAGTAGTTTGTTGTTTTGTCAATGTTCAACATAAAAAACGTGGAAAAGAACGAATAGTGCTAGATTTCAGACGGAGTAGGCCGAAATCGAAGTCGAAAAAGTCGAAAGGATTATTGTAGGAGAGAGATTTATGGAAGGGTGTGTCTGTCTTTACTACGAAAAATGTAGCCAGCCTCATGTTGTCTAAGTAGCCCATTTAATCCCGGAAATTTTCCCCTTTAATGGTGCCGTTAAAAGCGTTGCAAAGTTTTCTGATCGTGTACTAAATCTTCCAGAGATTTTAGGAATACCTCATGTTTCTGAACGAGTAAAACCTGGATGCGCCAAAAGAACCCACCTTTTCGGGAACTACTGTTCATTTGTAGGTAAGCTAAATTAAATAGAAGTTAAGACGACCTTATAATCTCGGACGGACCCCATCAAGCAAGGAATAAGCATCAAATTCCTTAAGTGAACTCTTGTAAACGTGGCTATAATCTCATTGCAACGGATACTGAAGTTGCCGTCTTCTCTCCATGTATCCCCCTTCAGGTTATACCAAAATGGTGTTTAGGTGAGGAAAGAATGTTCCAGGTGAACTAGTGAGTTTTGTCGTTCCATTTTGTAGGCCTTTCGTGTGCACAGTTGCTTACTTATTCGCTTTACCAGTTAAATAAACCCATTGATGTTGACTGAAAAAATTTCCAACAGATTTTATCCTGAGGGCAAATCCAAACTACCAACAACTTATAAGTAGCTTGAAAAAAGAATGATTTCCATGACCGGTGAAACTTCCACCCAAGACCACTATAAGCTAGATATTCGGCTGAATTCCAGTGAGTCTCCCGTCAAAACCAGACTGATTTGAAGCTGAGTGCACAAGTGGAATTTTTTTTAGAAATTTAGCACTCTATGGGCTAGTCATCCTTAACTGAAGGATGACTGATGCTCTATGCTGTCTTGATTCGAGTTGGTTACACTGTTGATCAGGTGCTCGTCGCCAAACGGTTGCATTCAAACCACTAGCTAGAGGGTCTCCAGTACGGAATTGTCTGGAGTTTCGTGAGGTGTACACTACTGATGTTTCCAAGTAAGAATAAAACAGCAGTACAGTGCTTCCTGGCTCTCAACATAGACTAGTTTCGCTTACATTGCAGAATCCCGATCTGAAATGAGGCGTTAATTACAAGTGTGAATAATTTTGTTCCTTTCAACGACCGTCCAAAGCAGTAATTTCTTGCGTGTGCTATGTTAAGAACCGGTTTCAATTAAGGGTGCATCTAACAACAGCAAGTGACATTGAAAACGCGTGTGTTATCAATAATTAAGCGACATGTGGCTGAAAAAGTTGACCAACGCATCAGCTGAGCCAATCTCGTGCCTGAATAACCATTCTCTAAAGTTTCAATGATGTCCCTTTTTTCTGCTTTCGACTCGCATTTGCAGATAGCCGTCCAGGTGGGAAAAAGCCTAAATGATTCGCAGTTCTCACCCCTGAATGAGGCCGCACTGACTTCCAGTGAAGCAGACTCCTGATTATTAATGCAAGTTGTTGGAATTTCGCACTAAGCTTACTACATCACGAAGCAATGGACTGGCTGAATGCATAGAGTCGTTTGTTTGCTCTTTGAGTGATATTCGATCCTGAAAACTGTCCGTTGCAAACGAACCGAAGTAAACTGTAATATGAAGACCAGAGAAGCTGGGCCTCCACGACTTCGCAGCAAATCTCATCAACTTCAAGACTGGTGTGAGGTTGTGACAACTGTAGGGAGCTGCCGAATCAACTTCAAGACATGTGTGAGGTTGTGACAACTGTAGGGAGCTGTACAAGGATCACTGCGTGCCTATGGCCGTACAGGAGGGGCAGCCAACTTCTTGAACTGAAACCGCTTTAGGCATGCATGAAAATGTTTTCCCCAGTATTGTGTGCAACTGTATAGTTGACGTACGGGTAGGCATTTGGCGATCAGAAAGGCGATCTCCAACCTAAACACTCGTACAGAGTGGACCAGAGTTAGAGGAATCTGAAAAACGGTCGGGCGCATATGATGGGCTATCCATAGGGGAAACCGAGAGCACCGAAACGTGCTGAGGATAGCTTTTCTCGATGCCTACCAAAGGGTTGTTTGTTTTTTATCTGAAGGAAGTCCATAAAAGTGTTTTCGATACATTCTGATGTATAAAAACTTGATGGGTTGGGAGATGGTGAATTCAGTTACTGAGAAAGAACGTAGAAGCTATTTTTGGATCAATGGTAGGGCAAGTAAACCAATCTTGTTTGAGTATGCTTGTGCAGCTCTGAAAATTTTCAGCCAAACATCGTAGTTTAATGGCTTTTTTTTAAAACTTACGCGTTCTCCTTTGAATCCTTGTCTTCCCAACTGACCAGAGTAACCCTTCTCACCCTTCGTCCCTTGAAATCCGACAAATCCAGGATCTCCAACCGGACCGGGTTCACCAGGAGGGCCTGGAGGACCAGGAGCTCCCTAAAACATGAATGTGTGGTTGAAATGATAATCTCATCATCCCACACGTTTGGAAGAATGAAGACTTTTTGACACATTGCAGAGAATGCTACAAAGTTGTTCAAGACTGCTCAAACCAACTTCACTTACGCTGAAGAATAAGGTTAGGCAAAAGAATTTCCAGGTATCGAGGAATCCCATAGGACACAGGATTCTCCTTGACTCATGTTAAAGAAATTTTGGAGGATTTGGGGTGAAATTAGGTTCACTTTTAGGTGAAATTATCATTACACCAGCTCATGATCCTACTTATGTTAATTCAACTGCTACAACTTCAGCTGGGAATACGGTTCACATTCCTCTTTGCCATCCACAAGTACCACACTTGCAACATTTTGATTTGCGTGCACTATTTCATACTTCAGTTGAGCGTCTCTCAACAAATGAAAGGTCACAAACATCACTTTCGTTATTGCCAATGAGTGCATTTCAACCAAAATCCAACTTACCACCATCCCTTTCGGTCCAATGCAAGTACATTTGTCTGGAGTGCATACTTGTTGACACCGCAACCGTTCGTAGTAGTCATATTGCTAAAACGTAAGTAGAGTAATTAAGTTTAGCATCTAAATCTCCCGTGGCCAATGAGGTGCATACGAACTAAACTTTCCTACACTATTCAAAAGTGGCTGTTATATCACAATGTGTTTCCATTACTTAGTATGACTGTCACTAAAAGATTGGACCTTACCGTGGTGTGACGGTTTTCGCACCTCAGCGATCCAATGACCTATACTGGGGAGTGTCCCTGTGACACTAACAGAGTCTCTCATACCAGGTTGGTCAATGGTTAGAGGTCTGACGAACACAGTCTCCTGGCCCTCTAGGTTGGGGGTTGGAACATGTATGGCGAATTGTTCCGTAGAAACGGTAATGTATTTGCATTTCCCTGCCAAACACCGCTGCCTTTCGGTTAGGCTTTTGAGCCAAAGGCTTTGGTTGAGGACCCTAATCGTCCTCCTTTCTAGGTGTGGGCGCCCTGGCAGTATCCCAGCCCTCGTACAAACATGACATTCACAGTACGGCAGTGAATCATCGGTGTAGAACACTGATGTCATGCTATCGAAGATGATGATGATGATGATGATGATGATGATGATGATGATGATGATGATGATAATGATGATGATGATGGTGATGATGATGATGACTTAGTATGGATAAACAAGCTTATGGGACGCACGAGGAAACAACAACAACGATATTGATAGACGTCGTATTGAGAACTGGAGTGCCATCTCACGAAAGAACCCAGAAGAATGAATTCAGAGTTCTGTGGAATATAAAACGCAAACCCCATTATTTCATTCTGGTTACAATACCATGTGAATCGACAACAACCGTGGAACCAAAATCGGTTGAACCCAAGTAAACTTGGTCCAAATATGGGCCCTTCTGGCTGTCACTAGAAAAGTCACTCTCGATACGACTGAAGAAGCAACACACGAACGTGTAGGTCATTGCAATCTCCTTGTTGTTTAGAGGACCAAGAGACATTGAACAAAGAATGTGTTGGGTCGCTGTTGTCCGATGGATGTATTTTACATAAGCATACCACGTATGATGAAGAGATAATCAATTTAAAAGCAAAGGCCTTGAGCATTACTTGCGGTCACTGCATGAGTTCTACGAGTAAACCAGGTCTGTCAAGCAAACATCTGCCAGGACTGAAGTTTGAGTCCGCGGTAACTGATTGGAATAGAGCCGTATTCAAAAACCTTTAGCTACTGAAAAATCCTGACCAGTGTGGAGGAACTCACTTAATTTACAACCGGTCTACTGACGAGACATCCAAGTTGCAGCGAGAGATTGAACAACATCATCAGGCATTTTGTTCGAATTAGATGGACTTAGGTGGACAAATTCATGACTCGCAAGCCTTTCGGTCATTTCTTCTCGAGTGTTATTCACTTCCACAATAGACTAGCCTGAGTATTGATCAAGTGGGAACGGATGATTGGTTCTCATATACGGACACACAGAACCTCAGTGCGGGGTGTAACAACCTACGCAGTATCTATTGGTAGAGTAGTAGCCCGATTATTGGTAGGTATTGTTGGAGTGTGTATGGATATAAGCACCAACGTGAGAATAGCGAAACACACATTTGTGATATTCTTCGAGTAAATATGCTGCATAAATGCCATTTCATGTTCCAATCGGCATTCGATCTTCTGGACTGGTCACATTACTTATGTCTTTTATGGAAAGTCGCAAGCAGTTTACAATCGATGTCGTCCTCCTTGCGGCTTACGACGTGGACGCAGTTCCTGAGGTTCCTTATCTTCTGTTCGAACAGCAAGTTTCACCCTACTGACCAAATGCGTTCACATGCGTATTACTTTAGGGAGTAACTTAAAGAGGAAATTGAGCTTCTTAACTCGTTCGCTTTAAGGGAATTATCCACTGAATGTAGTTCAACGCTTGCGTACAAATCGGTGATCAAATACGGTCGATAGAAACTAGGGGAGTATAGTTGCCTGAGGAGTCTCAAAAAAGAAATCATGAGTTGTAAAACCTTACGATTACAGTGTTTTGGCAAGCATAATCCTTAGGTGAGTATTAGTTCATTCAAATCATTCTACCTAACAGAGGATCTTCGAATGGCAGCGGAGTGTTAGCCACTGGGCAGTAATGAAATGGTGAAATCGTCTTTTCAAGAAGACTAGCTAGTCACTGGTTTGTAAAGGACCTCAACAAGACTAGCGTGAAATGTATTCAGTGGGCTATTTATTATTACGACATTCCAGTTTGAACATTGAACAAATCACTAGCTGCTCTCAGTGACTTTGATTTGGGTAGACGCTTTTTTGAGGGAAACTTTCAGCATAATTATTATCTAATCTAACTTCGGAATATATCACCATGATCTGGACTTGTCGAATATATTTCTTGCCTCAAAAAGCAGAAGTTGGCAAGAGCTATTCACGAAGTCTGTCCAAACAAGCTAAAACAATGTCAAAAACCCACAGGTATAGGGCGTCTCATCAAGGTAAGAATTTCAGCCACCTGATGAACAAGCACTTGGTGAAAGTGTTTATTGATTCAGGCACCTTTCTTCCTCTTACATATTACCGTGAACGTTCACAGTTTGTTTTGAGGAATGCCAGTGAATCTCAGAGAGTGTGTGTATGTGTATCAGACTGGTAGGCTTTAGTGAATCGCTTAGAACTCCAACCAGATATCCGAGTAGTCCAGGTTTTTATGAATTCAACTAGTCCATCTATGGTTCAAAAAACACCAATGCCATTGTTTTGTCAGTCTTCGCTTTCCGGCTTTGCAACAATCTACCTTTATTTCAAACTGACCCATGTCTGGTATATGACACCTTGTTTATTGCAACCAGTGTCACCGTCTGTGTTCCCATCGTACAGCCGGGAAAGTGAAAACCCGATAAAAGGGGACTTCTGGCACTCCAAAACGGGGAAAAACGATTTCAGTCCACAACAGACAACGGATCTGCCGGATAGACTTGAACATTTTTTCTCACTCTGACCAAAAGTTTGCGATGCAGTTCGTGCCTCATTCAGATATTGGTGTTTTGCTAAACCGCTCCAAAGTAGTGTGGGCCATAATTAACCCGCTACCTAAGTTTGATCAAACCCCCCAGATTATGCCAAATAGCGTGGACTGCTGTAACGGTGTATAATGCTGAAACTGGTAAGGAGATCTTTGGTCTAGCCAGCCCCATAGGTCATTCGGGAACTTGTGCTTAACAGTGCAGAGTAATCGAGGCGGGATGCCATAAAATAGTAACTTGACTCATCCTACCAAAATGGACGTGAATATGGACGTAGCATGTCTACTCCCCGATCGAAGACTTCACAGAAACTAACACAATACAATTGAACGAAGCCAAGAAGACGAACTTACCGCTGATACAAATGGTGTGATGTATAAAAGTATTCCTAATAGGAGGGGTGATAATCTGTGGAGAGAAAGGCATTGGAAGAAACTGTGTTAGGTTATTTGCATCATGAAAGTAACAAGTAAATACAAGCGGTTTTCAGTAAAACATGAACGAACGTGCGTGGTCTAGAATCTCCTACAGAATACCTACAGAGTTTGCTGCATGTAAGAGTCGTTGAACAAGGGTGCCGCTTTTGATTCTCAACTTGAATTATCAGGAAGGCCGAAAACCCAAAACTTAGTTCTGTTGTGTAATGCACTACCCATAAGGTTGTTGAAAACTCCTCGACAGCCTGTTCTGTTGTCTTCTAGGCGACCAACTGGTTAGACACTTCTTGCGCAAACATATCTCAATCCGAATTCAAATAATAGACGTGAATTGAAAGAGGCTTTACAAAGAATTACCATCTATAGTGGCTGTCCTTCAACAGTGGGTACTTTGATTAGTCCTGTGGTGTTTTCATCATGGAGAAAACAGAATATATTTTAATGTTCTGATCGCTTTGTTCCATCCAGTATCAATACGACAGCCATACAAAACATATAGGATGCACGCACAGAATCCTCGCGGTACAATATGTTTTTTTTTCAAGCTTTTTAAAGACCGTTTTCAACCATAGACGTGTTCAATGTCTGAGGATGAGATCTGTTGCAGATCTGTTCCCTAGTCATAAGGAATAACGTTCAGTTCAGCAGCTTTCTTTCCACTCTAGCAGGCGAAATCTCTCAAAATACATTTCTAGATAAGGGCAAGGTAGCTCTGTCGTAGATGTCCTCTTTACTTTGTCGAAAAGATCAAGTTCACCAGCTAAGATCCTTCTACTGAGTGCCGTTGAATGAGCGTCTGACATTTTTCCGGTTTCTCCGACTCAACACAACTTAAGGTTTCCACTCCCATATCAGATATATTTCAATTGCAAACCTGTGTGCCCAAATGAGATGATGGGTCACAAACTTCTTTATGTGAGCTGATCAAGACCGTGACACGGTTCGTTTTCCCACGCGCCGAATGCACAAACATGATCCATTATCTTCGTACTTTTGTTGGGAGCTAGCAGAAACTCTGCGGATGCGGTCACAGCTGCAGTGTACTTTCAATTAAGATCTCGTCCTGTAAATGAAGCTGGAAACTTGAGAAGTAGCGTGCAGATGTTTCCCCCGTACTCCTTTCAGACTGTTTGAGGAACGAGGGTTTTGATTCCTGACCAATAAGCACTTGACCTCTAACCAGCTAGTGCACCCGAGCAACAAATATTCCGACATATTGTGAAAAAGGGGTTTGACGAAAAGTAAGCCGGAGTGACAGAGCGAGGAAAAATAAGACGGAGGAGGAGTGCTGTGTAGTCGGACTGAAATAGCTCGAGTTTCGATCGTAGCTGTGTACTATCGAGTCGAGAAGTGGGAACAAAACAAAGCTAAAAGATTTCAAGCATCCGTGGTTCTACCTGACTGGATATTCCCGACGAGTGGGCTAATCGATCGACAAGACCAGGAAAATCACTGTGATCCTTCGATTGGTCGCGCTAACCAACATCACCGCATAAGCGTGAAAGCGTTCACCTGTTCACATAGAGTAGTGCCAACAAGCTTACCTTGCATGTTAGATGTCCGCAGTTCAGTCCCCGACAAAGCTGGAGATATGCAACTCTGATGAGCTCTAATAAAAGCGGAACATGAACACACTGGTTCCACTTTAGTGGAGACTCATCAGAATAATTTGCACCAAGGCAGGACAAAGACCTTTCAAACGACAGTGCCGTGTAGGCGAATTCTACAATTCTTCAAACACCTGAAACCAGATTTGCCTAACTAGGCCTTCTGCAAATAGTCGCCATCCAAAGACCTGATGTTCCCTGCTGTGTAGGCATCGACACTTCGCGTTTGCCACAGGCGTTCAGCATTAAATCGCACAAACTATCAAAGGTTGTTACCCCTAACATCGCCAGCTATCACAGTAGCTTTTTTCGAAAAATCCAGGCTAAATTTCACTCGTTAGCTAGGGTTTTGTGGAAGCCGGGTTGTTCTAAAAAAGGTAGGATCAAAGATAAAACTTAAAGAGCATCTACGATTCTGAACCTTCCACGGTAAAGTACACGTGCATCTGGTGATTTGGAATTACGGCTATCTGACAACTCCAGGGTAAACTGGATTGCAACGGGTTCAGTAGAACAGAGGGCTCCTTCAGATTCTAGAGGAATGAAGATAAAGGGTTAAAGGTTATGAGCATGTTTCAGCTGATTGGATGGTCTTTTCCAGTCAGCTTCTTGGTCGAAGTTCATAAAATAAATTCGTCCGAAATGATTTGTTTCCTCGTTGATTCAACACTTCTAGAATTGGAGAATTTGAAACAATTTGAAACAGATTTTGATGCAGTAACTGCTAAACAAAGTGCTTTAATGGGACTATTGAGACAATTCGTCGGCTAAGCAACTGAAAATTTGTTTCATTCATTTGATTGTGATACGCTAATGAGTGACAACAGATAACAGGAAATAGTGAGGAAAGTCTCCACAAAATTTATTCTCCATTTAATAGCACCGTGCTGTGCATACTACTGATGAAGCACGCGAGTAGTGTCGGTAGTGTCAAAACCCACCTCTACATATGAAGGTTGATGGAAAATTAATATACCAACTTGCAGCGTTTGTTCATTATTGCCTAACAAATCCGAGGGGACACTTGAGGACGTCCACTCTAAGAAAACTGTGTGCAAATGATGTTTTTACTCTTTTGTCTAATTCTTTTAGCCACGCAGTTCCTGTTAGTAGGCATCGGCTCCGCACTTGCGGGCGTTCTTTCTCTCACGAATGCCGTCACAGTACTGTGCTTATGAATGATCGATGAAGAAAGACTATATATGCGCGCGGCAGCCAGTGACAAGCAGAAAACCTTGGCGTTTGGGCTAGGAACTTCCGGGTAGACTGAATACCCTTTCTAAGTAAGTTATATTAAAGGGCAAAATACAGTCCAATAAAAATTTCCGGAAAGTATTACTTGAAAAAAGCGGATATCAAGACATGCATAAAACTGTATTTGGTTTATTTTTATGATAAGTAAACAACGGAAGAAACCCAGAATGCTACTATTTACTGACGGGAACTATTGTTTGTCTAATCCATTATATCGAAGCGTGGATTTTCAGGTGCCAGGTAGTTGCTGGAAAAGACAAGGTAATCTGCCGGTCGACAAACCTCTTGAGAATTTTCTACCAGCCCCAAATTAATTTGCAAGATTGGTACTCCTGCAGAATCATGACTTCAATAATGCTGGTTGATTTTGCTATAAATAGTGATGTATCGCACCCTGGAGGGACGAAATCTAACATTGTAAACGCCAATGAAAACAGCACTCACCACTGGATCATGGTGGGGATAAAACGCTAAACAGGCCTTGGTCACTTGACTTCCAGTTAATTCCCAGTAGAGGAGATTTTATCCTTTAAAGGAAGCTCATCTATGCTGAGAAGACGAGAATCACTGTACTCCCTTTTCATCATCATTGGGGATCATTAGCAGTGGGTAATTCGCGGGACTTCAGAGGACGAGAATCACTGTACTTTCATCATCATTGGGGATCGTTAGCAGTGGGTAATTCGCGGGACTTCAGAGGATCTTAACCCCGTAACCCCTGGCTAGCATTCTGAACACTCAGCCGTGGGTCAAGAGCACCGGATTAGCAGGATGATTAGATCGCACTTAGAGAGTATACAGCGCAACTAATTACTGACTCACGGAGTCTGCCACACCTGCTGTCTGGCTCTTCGAGTGATAACTTATCAGCATTCTTGTGAGTTCAGCATCAGCTTTGTTTAAAAACGACAGCAAAACTTGACTACGCTGAACCTGATATCGATGTTTTAGATGTGATAAGTTTATGTGAATGATGAATAGCATTCGTTAGAGACAATAAAGGTAAAAAAAGCTTCATTCTGATTTCGGAAACATGTCAATGCAGTCCTAGAGGAAGATATGATAAATCAGTTTCCTGCAGATATCTCATGTTGTAATAAAAGTTGGGGGTACATTACCTGGGCGTAAAGGGAAAAATTAAGTGAACCAGTCGAAGCAATTAAGGTGCGCACGCGGTGCAGAGCTCAGCGTTTAACTGTAGACCTGAAAGTGTGTTGTACAATGAATAGTTCTCTCCAACATATCCCTCTTTAAATTTTCCACCTTTGGTCGGTTGACAGGCAAGGCACCATTCTTTTAGCTATTGTCAGCCCTAATCCAATCGATTTCACTTTAATTCGTCGAATTCGTATCCCCAGCCTGCATACTGCACTAACTGAACGACCTGAAATATGGTGGCATTGCGAACAAGTACATGTTTCAGTTAGTCACACAGACTGAGGTTTGGATATCGCCCGGAAAGTGGTTCACTCTAGATTGAACTCAAGTGGGCAGGTAGGACTGGCCCAAATCCTTTGGTCATTTACAGAACTTCCAAGTTTGAATGGGTCTCATCGATACAGATAGCATGAAAATGAGTTATTTTTCGAACGTTGCATTCATATTTAATCACGGAGTATGTTCTTCGGGTGTACATAGGCTAGTTGGATGTAGACCGTGAACGATCTGTTACGTATGACTGCACAAAGAATTCTGAGTAATAGTTCGTCTGTTATCGCGAATATTCTGCCCGCATACATCTCAGCCTTTCGCTGATCTCATGGTTTTTAGGCAAGATATCTGACGATGTTTCTTGCTTGGCAGTGAAAGCTTGTATTCATGGACGCATTTCACCAGTATTGGTCTTGGTGCCATTCTTGTCCATTTCGTGGTTTAAAGCATGACTTTGAAATTATCTTTGAGCAACTGATGACAGATCCGATGAAGTTGGGATTGACGGAGATATGACCTGCTTCCAAGTCGTTAAACCAAGCAACTGACATATAAGGTTACTTCCTTTGGTCTACCTTTTTCAGGTCGCAGACAATGTGGAACGTTATATCCCATTATTGTCATTTGTTTTTCCACAGAGAGAGGGCGTCGGGAGTCCAAATTAAATCATTAGAATTCACGTCTCAATATGTAATCTCTGTTGGGGTGTTGATCCAAATCAGAAAAAATTGTGCACGTATATATTTTTACTTATTAGTGTCCTTATGAGGGCAAAGCATTTACGATTGAAGGAATAGTGCCTTAAATGGTCCTTTTCAATCACAACTCGCAAAAACACTTCCCCGGAGCACTCTGAAAGTCATATTGGCATAAAACAGGTCCACCTACCAGATTTTATATGTTAATCACTAGTTAGAACAGCTTGCTTGTTTTGTCACATCATCTTCTCCGATATTAGAAGAGCACTTCATGGAAAAATACGTTTCGGAATGGAAACATTTTTTGCGTATTCTTGCAGACACATTTGTGTAGAAAGCTGCGCTCACACTGAACAAAAATATGGTTGAGCGTCAGAAACCACGAATTTGTCTGGTAGTTATTACGCGCGTTACAAACAAAACCAGAAAGCCAGTAGTGGATCAATAATCTGGCTAAGCAAGCTGATTTCAAACCACCTGTTGACCAGATGAGAACAAGCTGAGTATTACACACTTAACTAACGAACTGACCGCCCAGAGTCAGTGCTTTTTAGATTAGGGTAGTTTTCGGTCGAGAAGAATACTTGGCATCAACCCACCGCTACGCACCACAACGCCCTGATGATATCACCTCACTGGCGGTGAAACGTTTGCAATCAAATTACTCGGCTCAGCAAACAAATCAACGACCAAATCAGATTGCAATAATGGCCTAGGATTCTTTCGGCAATTCGCTTGCAAAAGTTTCATCACGTCATTGCATTATGCGTGAAACCAGTGGCCAACAGTGGAAGTGTACGTGACTATCGCACACTTATCATATGATAAAGCCTTCGTACAAGTACGTACCTGTCTGCGGTTCATCGAGGACTTGACCAGTAACAGACTCAGCTCATTCGGTTTGCACTGTCTTGGTGGAAAACGCGAATGCACTGAACACTATGGTACGCTGTCCTACAACAGGCCATGCTATACTGTACTACGGTGCACTATTTTACTATGTTCCGTATGTTCCGTAATATACTATACTGTATGCCATTCTAAGCTTTCCTGTACCACAGAATTTGTGGGAAACCTTCACCAAAACCTTTGTAGAGCAACTAATTGCGTGATTTGCTTTCTTTTGTCGTCTGTGTGGCAGCGAAGTACCAGTGTGGAACACTGATGTTATCCTGTCGACGAAGCTGATGGAGATAATGACCGATCCTCAGGAAACAGGACAGGAATCATTTTTCACCTAGTGAACGGAAAATTGCTGTTACAAAACAAGTGCAGATGGGAAAATTGATGGTCACGTTCTGGCTGGATGCACTGCATCAGTTGTCCTATTTGTGGAACGTCGGGCTGATTTACCAGGTGGTATCTCTGAGCGACTCCTTCGTGGTTGTTAGCGCTGCAGGACAGTGCTCCAGGTTGAAGTTTCTACCAAAGAAATAGTGCATTCCTCTGAACCTCTACCACTTACTACGTGAAAATTTGTGACGATGTCATGCACGCCTTTTCTATCGGATTTGGACACATTTTGAACAGGAGCAAACAACAGACACCGCCAACAATTATAATAACTGTTTGACAGGATTTCGCTTCAACCAACGAATCCAATCCAGTTTCAGGACATGGCACAGCCTGCGTACATCTAATTCCCAACCTAATTACACAACCAGAAGAATTTAGTACTTATGAACAATTACGTGATGCGAAACAGCGGGTAGGCAGTACGACTTGTTTTGTCGTAATTTCACCTTCGTTTCTGCTATAATTCCAACCGCAGGCTGTCCATAGGTAAAACTATTCGTATGTGCACTCAGTGACCTTGACCAGTAGACATGCCCACACGTTAAAAGTTCTCTGTGTGTACTGTAAACCAAAAGGATGATAATGAGGTATCTATAACCAGCGGTTTATTTCCAACTCGAGGCTCACGTCCCACTCAAGTGCACATGGTCACGTCGTTCCAATCCGAAAAAACCCACATTCAGTTAGCACCTGTGGCTTACTGAAACCCAGAAATGCTGGTTAGGTGTGAGAAAAAGAAAAGAACTGGCCGCTCCAACTGCTTTTGTCTTAAAAATAAAACCAGATTGAAAAAGTTTTGTCCACTGCATAAGTTGCTATTTTTATCAAATCAAAGGACGGCCTGCGGAAGATGGCACTGTCACAGAATGACAACACTGAGAACACTGTAACTAAAGTAATGAAATAGTTCCACGAAAAAATCTTCACAATCAATAGAAACTGATGATTGTGGTATCAATGAGACGTCATAGTCAAACGATGGTTAATGAATTACTATTCAGGGTTGCACAGAAAATCATTGCGGAGGAGCTGCCTTCCCCAGACTTCCGATCAACTCAGTTCATTAAGGAAGCAACCCACTTCGACATCATTTGGGCTCCGTGTAAGTGTTTTGCTTTTTTACATTTCAATTTTCAATGCTTCCTTTAGTGGAAAGGATGTGGGTCTGTTTGATCGAGCCACAGTTTCTCCCATTTCAACCAGACCGATCAACAGGTTTTGTCGACATGTTGCATTTTACCTATCAACCCCTGAGTAGTGCCGTACGCAAACTACCATAGGTTTGACATCTTTAGTTGGAGAATAGTATCTCTGAGGTGGCTATTCGCGTTGGTGCAGTTTTCTGATCGTTCACACTCTGCGCCTTGTCATGGAGGTGCACACGCACATACCATGTGTTGAACGCATCATCGCATATGGAGCCACGGCTTTTGCTCCGTCCAGGGAAATGCAGGTGAGTATCAAGCAAGACCTCGTTCACCCGGGCATGACAATGCACCTGTGCAATTGAATTCACTTCTCGGGTTGTGTAGAGTACCTTGGAGGAAAAACCTCTGCTGACTTTTGCACGATCGTTTCAGAGCTACAAAATATACGATGTTTTGTTCCCGTAACTTTGGGCAGAAAATGTACAATGGTTGGGTCAAGTAGCTCGTACACACACGTGGTAGCTGGCAAATAATTGCAGGACAAATCAGATACTACTGTAGACCGCAATAATGCGATTAAAGGCATGATGGTATTACGGGACTTTTCGTTCCGTCCGTTGAATAGGTATCGGAAGTGACGGCACCACGAAAGATGATATCAATCCAACTGTAGGACCTGATGTCGCCCCGTATTCTACAAACCGTGATGGTGGCTTAAAAACCCCGGAAAACTTATGTACTGAACTAAAAGACCACCATTAGTGGGTGTCTTCAGAGATAAAGTTTCTGTGTTTCTAATTAACATGTGGAATTTGTGCTTTTATCACGGTATAACTGACTATTTCCCATCCAGGCCTTTCGCTGTTTCATTAGTTTGTACTAGAACAGAGTTCCGTAAAACTACTCTACTCTGAGTCGGTTTGCCACAGGATCTTTGTTAAAACAATGCTACATTGGGTGGAGAGAAATGCGATAAAAAAACACACGAGAACGGGATCACTGCCGTTGACGTTGTTAACTGCAGAACTCACTGCCTCCCTGACTAAATCCTGAGGGTTAGTGCATTACCAGTGTCAAGAAGGAACAAAGCTCAAGTGATAATTGAGTCAGAACAATGTTCTAGGTTATTGTTAAATCGTAAAGCGGGTGTGTATTATCTGGATAGTCAGATTAAACGCCTGAAACTGGAACAGTTTTCTTCAAGGATTGCATAAAACATAGTGCTGTTTCCTTGAGCTTAAAAGTTATACTCATTTACCGTCTTCTTGAAGACCAGAAACCGAAAATGCGAAGGAGTGATTTGGAGGAAGACATCTCAAAAGAAGGCATACTGCCAATAGTTTTTCAGCTAGGTGAAATGCCCCCAAGTTATAGTTGACATGGGGACACACATGCAAAGACCAACAACATAAGAACGGACAAATAAATTTCAATGCACTTCAAGACATAATGAATACTAGTACAGTCAAAACTCGGGAATCAGGCACAAGGGTTCGACAATTTAGTGTCAGATATGAAAGTCAGTGAAAAGAATGAACACTCAGCGCCATTTAACACACATAAATGTATCTTAAGTGCGTAGAGAGCCCAAAGTGGCCACAAGTGGCCACACAAGTAACTGACTATGACCCTAGGGATTCCCAGTCCAACAGCAACTATGGTGAATTGAAGGAAGAAGAGCCCTTTATCACCAGTTTACGTGTCACAGAGTCATCAACAAAATCGGTGGCACATTCAGCTGATGTGAGCATTCGTGATTCCACACAATTATTACAGACATGTCTTCCCGAACAAGCATGAAAGACCTAAAAGTAAGTGGTTTCACTTCCTCGTGGATGGTTCCCGAATCCCTCGGCAACGAGAATTAAACAGACACACCGAGAAACTCAGTGAAGTAGAACAGTCCGTTTACTTCGTATCTAAAACTCGATCCACAAATGGTTTACTGGAAAACGGAATTTTTATCTGTGTTATGTTACAAGAAGTCCATTTTAAGCCGGCATTAAGCAAACTCATAAGGTGCTTGCCACCCGAAGATTAGGCTTTTAAAAAGTAATTCAGGTTACTGGATTTGCGTTTTTAGCTTCAAGAATGTTTAGGTTCATACTGTGCAGTTAAGAGACTTTCCGATACTTCTACTCTTCGGGATAAAACAATCGACTTTATGCATTGATACCTGCTGAGTGACCGGGATAATTCATTAAAAAAATTGCAGATTGAAAGTAGAATTCTGAACGAAAAAAAGTGTTTCACAGCTCCTTCGAAACAGATACACCTAAAGGCTTCAGTGGAGTAAGGTGAATGGTTAGAATGCATAAAAAACATCGGTTTGTTATAGTACTACATACTATCGATGTCTAGTGAGTAGTCTAGTGGTGGGTCTGTCCTACCAGGGTATCTCTAGAATAAACTGGTGGACCTCAGTCATATATATTATCATTATTATATTGACCACCTTATGTTCCTGCTCAGACGTACACCAGTATTTGAGTCGCTTGAACCACCTGCGTTTTAGACGCGGCTACACATCTGCGTCAAGGTGGCCCATGTAGTGGGCGCATAGCTGGATCCAAAACCAGGTGCTGCGTTGAAATGCAGGTGCACTTGAGCGTAGGCTACAGAGCGTAGGCAGGTGGAATGTACCTAATGGAAGACAAATTAAATTCCAGGGTAGCGCATGCCCGAAAATGGTGTTAACAGAGGTACGTGATAGCAATGAATGGAAGCCAGAACAGTTCACCTAGACAGCGTGATACGTTACAAAATCTTCAGTGTGCTCACTCTTCTGAGGAAATCCTGAACAGTTTAGCCTGATTTAGTTTTGTGATGGCTGCTTTCAGATAACCTATCAGTGAAGATCAGTTAAAATGGCAGATAGCATAAAGCAGAACTTTTGTGCGCCCAGCTTGTTGCGGCCGCTTTTAAAAGAACGTATTTGGGAAAACGCTTTATTGTTCGTCCTTTTCGAAATACGGTGATGTAGGGATCCATACGCGTCACTTGTGGCTTTGAAATAAACTACCGGATTTGTGTTCAGGAATGCAAACTCACGCAAACTCATAACATATGCCTTTCGCAATCTGTTTTTTGCAAGCTACGTGGCTAGGACGATTAAGCAGGAGGAGAACAGTTCCTAAGTCATGGATGCCCAAACGCCGTCAGGTTATGGATTTTTCCAGCTTCCGACCAACAACTGTAGTTTCTACTAGTTTTTTGTTTGAACTCCACATATGAGAAATTTCGTTCACTTGGGTACAACTCTTTCTGGGTGACAAGAATATAGTTTAATCCAAAAAAAATCATCAACTGTCATGAAACGTTTGCGGGTTTCGGGTTTTACTTCCCCCATTATGGTTCCCAAGGTTGAACTCCAGTTCCTTTTCTCGGTAAATCACCATTGATTTGTTTAACCAAGCTAATTGCTGTCCAAGTCACTACTCCCCGCACTAAACAACGGGCAAAACAAGTTGAAGTCCCGAGAGTAGTCTGACAGGATTGGCTAGTTAGTCAGTGTGTAAGTCCCCGCACACTGAAGACCTCGAGGGCGTAGCTGACTGATAAAACGGATAAATAATCCGCATCCAGCAGTTGTTCCGAGATCCGGGCTCTCGGTTAGCTGCAGGTTCAGGCCTAGAGGGTCGTCAGGCTAGCAAAAATGGAAAAAAAATTTCTACGGCCGCCAGCCACGTCTGTGCAAATCGCCTGCAGCTTGGACAAAAAATGCAAACATTTCCCAACAGCCTACCATCTCTAAAAGATTTCCAGCAAGCCGTGATCGCGTGGAAATTCTAGGCAGATTGCTTACCAATAATAACAGACTTCGAACAGAGTGTTTAATTTGTTGGCTAAATCGGTTTAGGCATTAAGATGGGTGGTGTCGAAACTTTGCGTTGGTCTTTCGGTCCTTTTTCTGTAGTTCACAAAACAAGTTGAAGTCCAGAAAGTAGTCTGACAGGATTGGCTAGTTGGTCAGTGAGTAAGTTTTTGCACAGTGAAGACCTCGAGAGCGAAGCTGACTTACAAAGTGGATAAATAATCCACATCGAGCAGCTTTTCCGAGATCCGGGAGTCCAGCTGTCGGTTTGCTGCAGGCCCAGGCCTACAGGGTCGTCAGGCTAGCAAAAATGAAAACTTTTTTACGGCCGTCAGGCACGTCTGTGCAAATCGTCTGCAGCTTGGACAACAATGCAACCCCTTCCCGAAAGCCTACCATCTCTAAAAGATTTACAGTAAGCCGTTATCGCGTGAAAACTCTAGGCAGATTGCTTACCAAGAATAACAGACGTCGAACAGAGTGTTTAATTTGTTGGCTAGATCAGTTTAGGCATTAAGATGGGAGGGGTCGAAAATTTGCGTTGGTCTTTCGGGCTTTTTTCTGTAGTTCATTATATTTTTATTGTTTTGGGCTACTGGATTATATTGAGGTTTCTGAGTTTCTTTGCACCTGAAGTAGTTGCCAGGAGATTTAGTACCTGCTATATGTCAACCTACGCATTTAAAGGCAACCTAACAAACAAGAAGACCCATATTCTTGGACCTAAATGAAGGGTCCGTGACAAGATAAGGTGCGGAATTTGACGATCAACGATTAGTTACTGGAGACCTAAATGAAGTGCCTGTGACAAGATAAGGTGCGGAATTTGACGATCAACAATTAGTTACTGGACAATCAACTAGTGCTTGTGGGGACTATGAATGTGCGGGGGATGAGTGTGTACAAAGCGGCGAATCGTTGTGTAGGAGTCTTACGAAATGTTGTCAGTGTATCACATTGTCCACTTCATCCGCGTCCCAGATGCGGTACACGAAATCATTTCTTCAATTTGAAGCGACCGTACGCAACGAGGTATGGATACCAAGAGGAAGACACATGGGACGTCATGAAGTTTATCTCACCTTACTGTATAGAACGATGATTCACTGAACATCGGGCAACTGATTGTTCATCAACCCAATGCAAATTGACAAGATAAGTAGGTGGTTGCATCAAATCGGCTGTCAGCAATCCTAAACGCGCAAACACGTCATACTTTGTGGGCTGATCTGACGCTATCAGCGTTCACGGACAAATGTCTTCCAGCTAGGGTTGGTTAGTTGTGCCGACCTCCGGTACTGTCAGTATCGAGTGGGGGTCAGGATAGCCTCATGTCACATCCAAGATATTGTGTGCGTGTGGATTTAGTCAAGCAGAAATCTAGAGTGATCTAATTAACCTGTCCAAGAAATTATTTCGATGAACTGGTTGAAAATTTTGTCGATAGGTGACGGACTAGCAGAAAAAGTTAACCTTTCTCTCCTAGTCTTTCAAGCCACCAAAGCGAAAACCGTGCGTACGAGGAATAAACAACGGTATCTCAAATATCGTGCCAAATGAAACATGAGGCAGCTTTCGTGCAGTACATCTACTTAAAGAATGCCATAATTGAGAGATTCAGTTGAGTCTTTGATGAAAACCAAATTGGTATGCGAATCACTCTTCAGTTCATTCTAACAAAACCAGTGTAATATGTGAAATTTGTGAAACAGATAAACTGCTGAGCTGGTGACATAAAAACAAATGGTTGGTCAAGCGAAACAGTGCCCAGGGACAGCTCTGAGGACAACTAGTGAGTGAGTTGACATTTGGCAGCAAGTTTCCAGTGACTACCAGATGAACCGATAAATAAAAAAACAGCTCGACTGTCATCGATTGCATTAGCTACTTAGTACTGTTTTATGGACACGGTTTATCCTCAGACCAACCAAGTGGGTAAATTGATTTTCAATTTCTAAAGAAACACAACTTTTCTGGCCAACAGTGGCTTGCGTACGAACAACAATGGCAGGTAAGTTACAGGACAAAACGAACCGCATTCACCCGTTTATTGGAAGTTCGAAGGAGACAAACTATTTATATTATCTAGTCGCTTTTCTATTAGAATGCTATTGGTGGACGAGAATGTCTTTATTACGAATTCATTTATTCATATTGATTCTCCGGGGATACGGAGAGTAATAGAACTCGCATACCATGCGGTTCAGGGGGTAGCATATCTTGTCTTTTGATTTAATTAGACTTAAGTGAAACGTGCTTTACAGCAACAAATTTCTACATCAATTTCATGCTGAGACGCTCCGATGTTGTTTAACGGATGACTGAATAAAAAACTCCAAACAATGGTTTCCTCGGTTCGGTTAGTGCGAAAAATTGAGTGCCAAATCGTGGAACTGAATACTTTATTGGCGTTTATATGCAGTTATTTGAGCGGAGCAGTCGAAGAGGAGGGATATCTTTAGCAGTACTAAGTACTTTCATGCGTGGCACATGGCGTTGAGTGTCCGTTTTTGCCAGTTAATCTCACACCAGACCCGTTATGACGGACATTTACCGCCTGATTTGCGAGTCTTGGTTGTGCTAGTGCTTACCGCGCCTTGAAAAGCATTCAACAGTGTTTGTCCTTTCTTCGGTTGTTAGTCATTAGACGCGTGTTTCCATACCAAATTTTTACATACGTCGGGATTCATCTCATCTGACCGGAACTGGTGGTGGCGTAAATTCGAATGAGACGTTTCTCTCTTTTAGCTCATATTCTTCTGTTACACTTTCAGAATCGTCGCTTGCATTCACATTTTGTCTATGACCATGCTCGTCAAAAGTAAATGACAATAGTGCTAATAGGACGACCTTTAAAAGGATGTTCATTATGTCAGTAGAATTATCAGTCACTTGTGACATTGAAAACCACACTTTATCCCTTCTCATCTGAGCGCAACTACCTTACACATTGACCTCTACAACAGTCTGTGTCGTTTGTTGACCTGACGGAATGCACTATCTGAAGTTTCCAGTTCGGATGTTGATCCTTTTCGCCTAACAGTACACTAAATGGGTCTGTTTCAACGCTTCGGTCGATTGCATCCGTTGTAAAGTATCATGCTTCCAGAAATTCCCTAGAGATATTCTCCTCAGTAGTACATCGTTTCTTGATCTAATTAGCAGTTCAACCAAATCTCTTCTGATGAGGTGTGCATACGTAGGAGTATTTCGAAACTGACCGAGAGGTAATTTCGGGTTGGTTCGGCTGGTGTTTCATCGATTTCCGAGGGGAGGGAGAGAGGTTCACAGTGTTCTGGAGCCGATTTACTTCATTCTGTGCATACAGATTCCGAGTAAATGACAGTTTCTCACTGCTTTCTACATGCGTACAATCGCAAAACAAATTACACCATGAATGGATAAAATGTACATGAAACAAACTATTTCCTAGACAGCCATAAACGAAGCAGCCCTAAAAACGGTCGCGTCGGTTTTGGCCAGCCTGTTCAGATATGAAAATTCTGCGCTGTTCAGATAGAAAATTCTGTGTCTGATTGGTGACTGATAGTATTTGTTTTTTTGTTTCGTTTTGATGGATTTCTGGGGTAGAAAAGATTACTACTTGGGTGCGGTTGTTATAGGCAGGCACCACGAGTAGGAAGGTACCACGAAAGGAAGTGGGTTGTCCTTAATCCAATGGATGTGCGAAAATGGACGAGAATTGATAGTGGTTTTGTTCAATAATACTGGAGCTATGCAGAATAAACACAGAACTTAGACAGGGTTTAGGTTTCTGGTGGAATTTGGGCAGCTGGAATAAATCTGAGTCAGTAGTGGTCTTAATTGATTCAGATTCTTCTTTGTGATTTGTGAACAGGGACCGTGTTTTTGAATCTTGATGCGGAAATGTCGGAAAAATTAAATGTAGATCAAAGTGTATGTGAGCAGTAGTGGTCTTGATTCAGATTCTTCTTTGTGATTTGTGAACAGGGACCGTGTTTTTGAATCTTGATGCGGAAATGTCGGAAAAATTAAATAAATGTAAAAGTGTATGTGAGCACGTTTGTGTGTCAAACGATCTGGTTTCCTACCAGACGAGAGTCTTATGCTGTTTTCACAGTCAGGTATGAACAAGAAAGTTTTCACGGATAATACTATCAGGGTGGCTTCTTGCAAACTGGTTTGGACAAAACCATCCACCGCTATAGAGGCCGCGTTTCATCCCGTGAAATTGTGGTATCAGCAAACAGGTCCCAGCGAATGGAATTCTATAGTGTGCGATATTTTCGCGTACAT